AACAACCCAGAAGTCAGAAATCTTCAAAACTTTGTTTCATATTACATACAACTGAAATCATTATTACAGTGCTTTGAAGTCTGGTTTTATTATCTGGGATACATTGTAATTAGTGAAAATATAATTTATTTTTTCTAAACAGTACCTATAAGTTGATACATTTTACAGATTGTGTGTTTTGATTGCCTTTGGTGAATTATCACTTGAGTTTTCATCTTTCTTAGTTGGACTTGCTCTAAAATTCAGTCTCATGTCTGAACTCGTACATTCTTTTGCAATTCAAAATGTTTTCTTTTGTTTAACTCGTGAAAACAACAGTGAAATGTTTTAGCTGTTGACTCTGAAAACTGCTGCACTGTACCTTCTCCATACATGTGGGGGTGATTTAGTACAAATTCACTAGCCTCCAAATATAGTCTCTACAGCAGTGAGTATGAAGACGACTGACTGTCTTTTGGGATAATGTGCCATGTCGTGTGGTAGAAACTGACATTCCAGAGGCACCTCGGAAACATCAGTCAGTTTCTACGAGAGTACAAAGTACCACATCCCATAAGACAGTCACTTTATAGACTATACTGTACATTCATTCGTTCATTCATTCATTCATTCATTCATTCATTCATTCATCATTCATTCATTCATTCATTCCACCGTACTCTTTTGTTCTTGTTTTTGAGATGGGGAAGTGTGTTGGTAGACAAGTTAGCTCCCATTCAATGTGCGTTGACAAGCTTCTTTGACTGGAATAAAATACAGGTGTGGATATTCGGAAGGCAGGTGTAAGGCCAAGAGATGAGTTTCTGCTGAGACTCGCAGTGATCAGAAGTATGTATGTATGTGCGTATGTGTACATATGTGTTCTCCATTTTAAGAGGTGGTGACAAGATTCCTGTTTATGATTTTCAAAATCTGAAGTATATTTTTAAATGTGCAGTATACTGTATAAAAATAAAGTTTATGTTGTTAAATTACAGACTAATAATCCGAAACTATTGTTCATTGAATAAATATGAATGAAACATACAAACCACATAAAACCATAATGCACTGTTGCATTCTTATTTTTTAAGTAATATAAATAAAAAGAATATTAATACTTTTATAATCACAATGTACATAACATTCTAGTTGATGGATCAGAAACTCCAATCTTATGACAACCTCTTAATTGAATGTAACATGGAAGTGGATCAGATTGTGTGCTTACTTAACAGATAGAGATGGAGAAAAATTTTGGGTGTTAGAATCAATAAAATAAAGTATTGTGACTGCCTATTCTAGCTGTAAAAAATTGCAAGTTTGTGTGTCTGCTTGTGATGTCACCTGCTTGCAGTTGGCTGGCTGTTCATGAGCTCCTGCCATCCATTATTATTACTGTTTACTACAACTATTACTATTACTATAATTACTTATCAGACATTTTGGGAAACCAGACATGTAAATGTTCAAAATGCACGCTCAGTCATTAAAAGTTTCCGCTCATATCTTTGTTTTCATGTCACAAGAACCCATGGTAGTTGTGTATAAAATAAATATTATGGACCAAAATAAAGTGACATGTTTCACAGTCTAAGTGAACTCTCATCTCTGTTTATCAGCGTTCTTTTTGTTTAATGTATAGGAGATACCAAATTACAAGTTATTAATAAAAAGAAAGACCATACTTTCCTGTTATTCTAGGTTTTATGTATGCTCTTGCATGATAATCATCTGTAACCTTTATCAGCTGTGTATTTCTGTATGGCAAAGGTTAAATGGCTAGACAGCGAAGTCAGAATCATGGGTTAACTGTGGCCTCCCACTGTATATCGAGACAAGATGGACTGGTTGTAATTTATCTAAGTTTTCTATGCAGTCTGTTTAATAACATCTTTATCTTTCACAAATCCTATGCAGTCAGGTTTGTTGATATATATTTATCCTTGTTTATAAGGTGACGATGTCACATTTTAATGAGGATAGTTCAATTTACTGTTAATGTACAAACAGTTTAATCAAGTGTATACTTCTGCTCCACACTAAATATTTGTCTACTGTTATGAAAAATCACAATTATTTCAACTGTTCATATAAGCAGATTGGTAAATACCAAAAGGATAGTCCGACACTTCAGAGGCCAATTTCAACATCCAAACCGACGGTAAGGCTTTTTTATCTTGGTGTGTTAGGGCCAATTTTTCCCCCCTGCACATATGTGAACAACAAACAACCGCCGCCGCGCTGCCTGAATATGAACCGGATTTTATTTCCACGAAACCCTGCTGCGAATCAATGGCAAGGCTATGTGCCTAAGGGAGATTTTTTTCCCCCCTGCACATAATGAACAACAACAACAACCACAACCGCCGAAGAATTTTTTTTACTGCTTGCAGGAAATTCCTCTCGCTCGCTGTACTATTTATTTTCTTATACTTAATCTAAATTTTTATTATTTATTTCTTAATCTCGACATTTTTGTTAGCAGCTTATATGGAAGAAGTTTTTCCTCGGTGCACGTAATCTTTTTTTTGCGCGGCAAACCGAACAACTTTTCTTTCCAAGTCCGGCGCAGTCTTTTCAACCGGACGGTCAACTTCTTATATAACTTCATATTATTTGATATTTATATAGACACGAACTTACATTTCTTTAAAAAATTTACCTAACGAGGATTCGAACCAGCGAACCTCACGATCCGAACGCAGGCACTCTACCACTACGCTATTAAGTCACTTGACATAGAATAATTAAAAACTTCATGATATCATACAATAGAATAACTGACAAACTTAAATTAATACTAAGCACTCATCTATATTAACTTTATAAAACTCTACCTGGCCGGGTTTCGAACCACCGACCCTTGCATCCACAGGCAAGCACGCTAATCACTGCGCCACGAAGGCTCTTGGCATATCGCAATTTAAAACTTCCTGATATCTTACAATGTAATAACTGACGAATTTAAATTAATACTAAACTCATCTATCTATATTAACAATAAAAAAGTCTACTTAGCTAGGTTTCGATCCACCGAACCTTGCATCCACAAGCAAGCACGCTAACCACTAAACCACAGAGGACTACAACAGATCGTGAACTGGAACTATCTGATATCTGCACTGAAAAAAAAGTGTGTTAATATCACCCTTACTTACATTTTACAATAACCCCTTAAAATCCGTATTCGCTCTCGAAGAATAAAAACAACGTAACTCATGTACGTCACTGATAAGCCTCGTCTTAAAACTGGTAGCGTCTTCACTGAATCTTCTACGTCATTGGTAACCGTACCAAGTGAAACACCGCGGAATTTTTAGTTCCGTACGCGAGTCATGTACATCTTATGTAAGGGTACGTATATGATAATGCAAGTGAGTAGGCTGAATGATGTATAATACAGTCATGTACATCATGTGTAACTGCGACCATCCTGTGTGTTTTATAAACGAGTTTCATTCCTACGTCGTTGCTCTACGTACCCCTGCCTTGTATTCAGTGAATCTCGTACGTCATCGCGTTGCCTTCGAATTGGTACTGTCTTATGTGAAACTCGTATGACACAGGTAAATGTACTCGTGCCCTTTCTTACAACTGCTACTGTCTTGTCTGAATCATGCACGTCATTGCTAAACGCACCCCTACCTTGGCTTCCAAGTAGTAGTAGTAGCAGTAGTAGTAGTACACACAGTCTATGGGGAGAGGAGGGGAATCTCGTACGTCATTCCTAACTGTGCCTCTACCCTGACTTACAAGTGGTAGTGTATTATGTCAATTACGCAACTAACTAGTTAGTACGACATTCCTCAATATACCCGTCTTAGAAGTGATACTGTCTTCTCTGAATCACACACGTGCCTTGTCTTCGAAGTGGTGCGGTCTCGGATGGATCACGCACGTCATTGCTAAATCAACCCCAGCCTCGTCTTAGAAATGAAAATGTCTCAGCTAAATCTCCTATGTCATTGCTAAATTCAACCCTACCTTCCCTTCGAAGTGCTAGTGTTTTACGTCTTTGCTCGATATACCCCTCGCTTGCCTTCTAACTGCGCCCATCCCACATGTTTTCTATAGTGGTTATATCATCACAGGATCATAGACATCATATGTAACTGCGACCATGCTAAATATTTTCTAAAGTCAATGTATCTTGCGTGGACCTCTTACGTCATTACTAAACGCACGCTTCCCTTCGTTTCAACTGCTACTGCCTTGTGTGAATCTCGTACGTCATCGCTAAATGTACCTCTGCCTTGTGTTCACAGAGGTAGTGTCA